TCATTTCTAGATTCCTGAATGTCAGCGTGCTGATAGGCTGCTGCTCTCTGCCCAAAGCAGACAGGACCTGGGATCCTGCTCTGGCATTGGGGAGGATGCCACCAAGTCTCCACCTGACCCAGTACCACTGGAAGTGAATAAACTCCGGTGGGTCATCTTGGGCCCTCTCTGTGACTCTGACTTTTTGCCCCGGAACTAGGGTGAAGATCCACACCCCTAAGTCTTAGCAACCTGGGAAGCCCTGTGCCCCACTGCCTTGTCCTTAGCCCCTTTTCATCCTCAATAGCCCAAGCCACACTCCCCTGGAGCCCTCAGTTCCAGGCCCCCAGTGGGATGACGGCCATACCCTAGGGCCCTGCCCTACAGCCCTTTTCCTCTAATGAACCAGTTGGGGGGGGGAGGTGCTGTGTAGTCACCAGTCCCACTTCAGGGAAGCCGTTGGGCCTGGTGCAGAGAGCCAGAGGAAGGGAGATTTCTTTCCACTTAGGACAGGCTAGAGCTCACAGCCCTGGGAAGTGAGATTAGAAGTGAGAGAGGAAGAGGAAGGGATCTTGGGTAGACAGAGCCCACACACTTCATTGTGATTATTGTTTTAATTGTCTGGCTTCTCTCTGGACCGGGAGCTCTGTGAGGGTTCTGACGATTAACTGGCACACAGAAGGTGATCTACACGTATTCACTGACTAAATGCATAAGGACTTTCCAACTGCATTTCTGAATTTTACAGGTGGGAAAACCAAGGGCAAGGGTCGGGGTGGGAACGGGTCAATGTCACACAGTTGAGTGAGGTGAAAATGGAAGCAACAACCACTTCTACACCTCTCCTGGTCCAAGAGGGGCTCGGACTTAGGACGATGGCTAGGGGCCTGCCCCTCAGGCTTGAGTGTGACTGCTGGCAGGCAATGCCACCCTCTGCCAGAGACCAGCTGTGAGGGTATGGGCAAAGACAGGAATAGCACAGGCCAATGGTGGGGAGTAGGGGCAGGGCCAGGTGAACTCTTGGGCTTGACTCACAAGTCCTGAAGAACTGTGTGTGTGTGTGTGTGTGTGTGTGTGTGTATGTGTGTATGAGGAAGAGAGGGAGGGAGATGAGAGTGGGGCTAGGAACAGTTGGTGCCTTCCAGAGGAGCTCTGTTCCCTCCACCAAACCTTCAGAGGCTGCTGCCTCCCAAGACCCAGGATGCAGAGCACATAAATAGGGAATAAATACGTGACCAGTGGGAGAGGCAAAATGCTGGAAAGCACACCCCAGCCCAGCTGGGTCTCTACCACCAGGATCCCTGCCCCTTGAGTCTGTGTGAAAGCCAGGCCCTCAGGCTCAGGCAGTCACCCCAGGAGAAGGGAGATCCCCACCAGGACCCAGTGAGAGGTAGACAGCGTGAAAGCTGAAGGAGCACCAAGGGGCCAGGTGGGGGAAGGGAGAGACTAGAGTATGCAGACACTCAAAGCCATCTCATGCAACAACAAGTTTCTACTCCCAAACCACCCCCCTCCCCATCATGCTCAGCTTCCCTCCTGCCCTCAGGCTTACCTTCTGCTCAAGAGAGAACTAGAGGTAGGAGGGCAGACTCAGTTTGCCTGACATGCTGCTGCTGGTCCCTAGGCCCCAGCGAGGCTACCAAGGGACACAAACCCTCTGATGCCATCCCTACCTCCTGGGATGCTCCTGCCCTCCCAGTTCCCCAAGAAACATCTAGGCCATGGAAGCAAAGAACAGTCAGCTTCATGTTCGGGGAGCTGATCTGGGGCCCTCTGTCCAGGGCCTCTGCCTACAGCCCTTAACCAGCATCAGTCAGGCAGTAGGCGGCCCAGTTCTGCTTCATCCAGCCGGTTGGTGGCCATGATGTGCTCCAGCTGCTGCCGGTAGCGTGCCAAGTCCTGCATGAAGTGGGGCACCCGGGTATTGTCCAGCACCCCATGGGGCCGCAGATGGTCTACATCCTCATAGGACACCTGCAGGAAGGAAGCTGGGCCTCAGGGGTAGCCAGAGTGATGTGGCTTTCAGGTAGCTGGTCCTAGCTCTCTATGAATTGCTCATTGCCCTCTGCTCCTGGAATGCCTCCTTCTACCCTCTGGATCCACTCCAAGGTTACATACCCTGAGGCTCAGTCCTGGATGTGTTTGTTCTCTCTTCGAACACTTGGTATCGTCCGTGCCCCACAGCCCCACTCTTATCTCCAGCCCAGCTTTTCCCCTCACCTCCAAATGCAGGTATCAAGCTGACTCCTCAGCACCTTCCCCTGGATCTCCCTCAGACACCTCAGATCCCACACCCAATGCTGAACTGGGTGCCAACTTATGCCAGCCCCACCTTCCGCAAAGTTCTCTAGGCCAGCTCAAGGGAAAGAACCTGGAATATGTCACCCTCCAACTCAGGGTGGTCTTTGAGTTAGAGGGATTCCATTCTCTGAAGAGTGTTCCCCAGCTTGCTCCTCCCTCTGTATGGCTACTGTCCAGTTAGGCCAGACCACCAATTCTTCAGAAGTGATTGGAGAGGTGGCTTCCTCCTCCCCCCACACTCCCTTCCCTAGGCCTCTCTCTCCAATCCACCTCCCACTTAACATCCACAGGAAGCCTTCGAAAGTAAAAATGACATTTCTCTGCTTAAAGCTCTACTGATTTCCCATTGCTTCAGATGGAAGTCCATCTTCCTCAGCCTGGCACAAAAACCCAGAGCCAGAGACTTGGTCTCTGGCCACTTCTCCAGCCTCCTTCCCCAGCCTTTCCTGACTGCTCCCCTGGCCTGAATGCTCACCTCCTTTGAAATGCAGTATCCACCCGCACACCTGAAGTCTAGGTCAGGTACCTACTTTTGCTGCCAGGTTGTCACTTCACTTTTGTTCACCTCCACCCAGGTTCCCCCCACCAGAGGAGCTTGGCACCCAGTCCTTAGTCGAGCACCCATCAGAGGCTCAGGGAACACTGCAGTGACAAGGAGAGCTGACTGGGATCTCTTAGAGGTCCGTGGCCCCCTACCTTGCCCAGTGAAGTCAGCAGTGGGAAATCGATGGTCTGGCGGTGCCGGAGAATGCGCACGATGCCATCCAGGTACACCTGATCCTTGCTGAAGCAGCCTGTGGGCACGGGAGGGCCGTGAGCCCCTGGCCGGAAGCCCACCCTTCTCGCCCCTGCTCAGGGCACTGCCCCCCACCCCGCACCCCCAGGTTTCCTTCAGGGCAACCCTCCCAACACAGCACGGGTGCCCACCCGGCAGCGAGGTGTCAGTCTGCCCGCGCTTGGCGCGCACACAGTACTCCCAGCGCACGTCAGCATCCTGTACGTAGCGCGCCAGGTCCTGGAAGAGCTGGCGGAAGGACATGCGCGAGGCGCGGTGGATGGTGTAGTAGAGCAGTGCGGCACGCCACAGAAATGGCTGCTTGCGGAACAGCACGCTGTGCAGGCTGGCCAAGCCCTCCTCCGTGGGGTTCGCTGGCCGCAGACCGTACTGCAGCCGGCCCTCGGCGCTGTGCCACGGCTGCCGGGCGTTGTTCACTCCCCGCAGGTAGTGAGTGCCTGCAGGGAAGGCGAGGGGAAGGCGACACTGGGTGGGGCATCCAGGGGACCAACCTGTGTCCTGCTACATCCTGCAGGACCTCTAGCGGGTGAAGGTGACTCACGTACACTCCAGCCCCTAAACTCAGGCTCTCATGCAAGTTCTCCCCACCCCCATTCCCTGCCCCAGACAAATGCATACTCACCCAACCCCAGGCAGCGGGAAGACCCTCCTCAGGTGAACTTGCACCCAAAGACTCAGAATCCCACACACAAGAATCCTCCCCACCTATCCAGGGCTACACACACAAACAACTCTCCCAAACTCACACTGCCTCCCTATGTTGCCCCCTCTACCCCCGGAGAAGCAGGAACTCACAAACCACCCCGGGCCCCACATCCTGCATGCCCATATCATGTTGAAAGTCATGCTGATGACCCCCCAGTGATAAACACCTTTTGCCCAGAGCTACAGAATTCTTGATGAGGAGACACAGACAGAAAGGAATAGTAATTAGTGTCCCATGTTCTCCATTTCAGCTCAGCCTATCCCCTCCTAAAACCTGGCTTTGTGTCCTCAACCAATTCCATTCCTAAGATCTGGCCTTCCACCCACCCTGGAGGGCCTCTATGTTGGCTGGGCTACTGCAACCCTCAGGGTACTCCCTCTGGCCTGTCCAGGCCTCAGCAACCTTGTCCCCACTGTCAAGGGAAATCAGAAAGGAAGCAGAGGGACAAAAGATACCCAAAGGGAGCAAGAGATGAGGGTGAGCCCAGAGAGTGGGCAGGCATGTTCTGGCCTACCTCTGTGAGCCAGAGGGAGTAGGTAGCTGCTCACGAAGGGAAAGGGCCCGTCCTCCGGAAGGAAGGGGAAGAAAGAGAGGGGGTGGGGTTACTGGGGCCCCTCACTGCCCACCACCCCATCCCAGCCCCCTCTCATCCTACCCACCCACCCACCTACCCACACCCTGACCTATCTCGTGCCGCAGCATGCCCTCCAACCAATACTGGCGGGCTCCAGTCAGGTTGATGGCCAATGTTGGTCGGCTGTTCTCCACCATCATCACTGCCTGGGACAGCAGGTCCTCACTCAGCTGCACAACAACCTGCAGGTGGTAGTGACCTAAGCCATGGCCACCAGCCCTGGGGCCAGTATGCAGGTGGACATGCTGATGCCAAAGGGTAGCCAGGCCACACACCTGGCCAGGGCACCCACACTTTACCACCTTTGCTCAGAGCCAGCTCCCACCTTACTGGGGCAGGGATAGGGGCTTGGCTGGGGTCACTATCTGGCCACGTGTAGAGCTGGGCCTGGCATCAGCAGCCTGGTTTGGGGCACATAGAAAAGGGGCCCGGAAGACCGGGCTGGCTCACCTCCCCAACGCAGCCCTCCTTCTGCATGTATTTGCGCACAATAGACCAGATCTGGCACTTGGTCAGCAGCTGGCCCCCAGTTGCAGCTTCAAAGTGTTCATAGGTACCAAATTTCTCCAGGACAGCCTCAATGATGCCTACTGCCTGCACATAGGGTTGCAATGGCTGGTCAGACCAGGCCTCTTGGGTGGTCAGGCCAGGGTGAGGTGGGCAGGCTAGACTGACCTGATGGATGAACTGTCCAGAAGCCTCACAGTACTTCTCCAGCACAGCCGTGGGCATGGGCTCCTGGTATTCGAACTGTGGGTTGTAGGTATAGTGGGACTGGAAGAACTTGTCCCGCTCACGGTCCATGTTAGTTGGCCGCAAAGCCACCAACATGCAAGGGCTCTTGCTGGCACCACGGCCTGCATCCTTTCGACTCTTAGCAATATGAGGAAGAGAGGCTGCAGACCTCAGGGTGCCCCCACCTGGGTCCCGTCCCCGTCCAGGTGGGGCCCGACCCTGGGTGCCACCCCCCCGCCGGCCAGTACTATTTACAGTATAGGTGCTCTCACTGCGACGCATGTGGCCACGGTGGCCCAAGTGCAGCTCTGAGAAGGGCTGCAGCTCAGGCTGGGGCCGCAGGGCTGAGGGGATTGACAGAGCCAGGGGCAAGGCCAGGGACCGAGGCCAGGGGTACAGCAGTGTCCCATCTCGGTCTGAGGGCTTCAGCCTATGGCGCAAGGACGAGGGACTGGCTGGTGGGCTGGGGGGTGCCTGCTCATACACCTGAGCCCCTGAGTCCAGCACCATTCTGTCCTGGGGGTCACATCCAGCCGAGTCACTCCAACTCCCCACACTGTCGACTTCTGGGGACAAAGAAGGGCATGTGGAGGCCAGTATGAGTGGCTGTGGCCTGAGAATCAGCAGGCCTGTGCTCCATACTGTCCATGCTGGGTGGGTGCTTAGTGGGCTCAGGGTCTGCCACCAAGGGTCTGGGGAGCTGCCCCCTCCCTCACCTCCATCCCAGTGTCCATGCCTTCCAGCAGGCTCACCCAAGGAAGCTGGACTGGGGGAAAGCAGGAGGCAGAACTTCTACACCCACCTCAACAGCGGTTACTGGAATCCCCTTAGCCTATGAGCTACTGAGAACAAGGCCTGAGCCTCTACTCATGGTTTTATCTCCTGTGCTCAGCACCCACACAGGCTGGGAGCTGGGACAGTATAGCCTCAGTTGCTGGGGTGATCAGTGAGGGGCTCTCACCACCTTCTACCTGACTTCCATCTATGGCCCTTTGTCAGTCTCATCCCTCCCCTCCCACCTGCTCCACCACTCCTCCAGCCCAGTTGGCCTCAGTCAGTTTGAATGCCTGCATGCTCCTTGCTTATGTTAGTCTCTCCACCTGGAATGCTCTCTTTCCTCTGGATCATCTGTGCAAATCCAAATTAGAATCAGCTTTTGGGGAGCAGAGGAAGACTTTAGCAAACTCAACCCAATCCCTAGTCTGTCTCCTCTCAGAGGCCTCTTTCTAGTGGTCATCCAAGGCCAGTGTTTGGACCTTTACTCCTGACTCTGTACTAGGGCTCAGAACAATCCAGTCTCTCCCCGAAAGTCTGACTGAAGTCTCCAGAGTCGGAACTCTCTTGCCTATTCAGGGATACAATTCCAGCATTTCTCCAACATCGTCAATCTCTTCCTCTACTAGATTCTTTCCATCAGCATAAACACTTGCTGTTATTTCTGTCTTAAAAAATCAAAAGCAAACCCTCACTTGACCCCACACTCTCCCAGGCCCACCGCATTTCCCTCCAGCTGCTCCTTATTGCAGCACAACACCCCAAGTCATCTGCATGTAGTCGCTGACTCCTTCTTTCCTGTTCTCTCTTACATTTCACTCCAGCTAGGCGTTTGCCCCACTCTCCATTGAAACTGATCTGACCAAGGTCATCAATGATCACATATTGATCAGCGCACTCAACATAATTAATCATTTCATCTTGGAAACACGTTCTCTACTTGGCTTCCCAAATACACTCAAACATATTCTCCTACCTCACTGGCTGTTCATTCTTGGTCTTCATTTTTCATCATTCCTATCTTCCTGATCTCTTAATGTTGTCATGCCTCAGGGCTTGGAAACTTCTATGGAAACTTCTCTCCTCTTCTCCATTTATGCTTACTTCCAAGGGTGATCTCATTCACTTTCATGGTTTCAAAAACATCAGCCCAAACTTCTATAAACTTCAAGCTGGTGTTGCCACTTCTCAAGTCAACATCTTTACTTGAATTTACAACAGGCATCTCAAACTGAACACGTCCCCTGTCTGGAATGCTTCCCCCTCATATTAACTGCAGGGCTCACTCTCCCACTTTCCTCAGATCTCTGCACAAATATGTTATTAGACAAGTTTCCCTAACACACTCTCTGTAAAATAGTAAACCTCCCCCTCTTTCCTCTCCGCCACAATCTTCCCTTCCCCACGTTATTTTCTGAAGCAGTAATCACCATCTGAAGTACAGTATATGTCATTACCTCCCTTCTCCTTTTGAATGTTCACAGCTGTGTCCTCAGAACCCAGAATAGTATCTGACCCAGAGCAGTTACTCAATAAATGGGATGAACCCAAGAGCCCTGCTCCTTTGCAGAACTGGAATCATTCCTTCCACACATTCTGTTTCCCTGTATAGATCTGATCCCCCATCCCTACCTCCCTCCGTTCTGCCTAGTAACCACCTGTTTGAAAAAATTTCAGGCCTCAGGCTTCATTCTTCTCAACTAACTGTACACTTTTCTGGACTCCTCACTGATCTCTGGGCCTCTCCCTAGACCAGTCCCCTTCATCTCCCCCACCCCTTCTTTCATTCGACCTAGCTCTTCATTCGACCAAGAATACGCCTGCTTCTCTCACGTCTCAGTTCTTTTGCCAAGAATGCCCTCCCAATGTCTCCCTGTAGCAAACTCCTAACCATTTTTCAGGGTTTGGTTTAGGCCTCACCTCCTCCCGGAAGCCTTCCTGGCGTCTTGGAGGCTCCCAGTGTCTAGGCGGCTTCTTTACCACTGTGTCACTGTCGGAGCCTAGGTCTGTGTCTCCCCACCTCCCCCTTAACTCCTTGAGGGCAGGGACGGGTCTGATTGACCCCCATGTCTCAAGCACCCAGCACTACAAGCAGAATGAATGAGATGGCTGGGGAGGAGCCCAGACAGAAGGCGGAGTCCAGCGACAAATAAGAGGGTGTGGCCTGCGCCAATAAAAAACTCCGGGAGAGAGTAACGTGGAAGAGGAGCCAATGGGGACGGAGAGATGGAGGAGGGGCGTGCCCTGTAGCCAATAAGTGGCGGAGGATGGGGCAAAGGGCGTGGCCAATCGAGGGCGGAGCCAGAGGACAATGGAGCGGGGGGGAGGGGGGTACCCGCTCAGATGAGTAGGGGTCGCGCCGCATGCCTTCGCGGCCTCTCGGAGGTGGAGGGTTCCGTCCGCGTACCGCGCCCCCACCTGTTCGTTCCTCTTCTCGCCACCACCGTTCCCGCTCCGCAACACCAATCACCAGCCGCCCACCCCGCGGAAGCCGACGCTGGGGACGCACGCACTTGGGTGCGCGCACGCTCACACGAAAGCGCGCGTTTTCGCGTCAATCTCGGCGGCAGCGCGCACCCAAGAACACAGCTGGGGGTGGGACCAGTCAAAGCAGAGGGGACGGTGTCCGCTACTAGGTCCCGCCCCTGGGCGCGGCGATGTCCTAAGCCCGCCCCTCCACGAGGGCTGGGGGAGTTTCAGGGCTTCAGGTGCTACTCAGCTTCAGAGTCAGGGCCTGGAGACCCGAGCTCACTGCCCTGGTGCGGATAGGTGGGTCTGTAGTCTGCGTACAGAGGCAGAAGCTCCCGTACAGGGCTGATGCCGGGATAGGTGAGGCGCAGCCCATATCAGGACTGGAGCCAGGATACCGTAGGCGTATTCACTGAGTGTGGACCCCCTAGTCTTTACACTTTTATTTCATCCCCCTTCCCCAATACACAATTCAGACATCCAGAGGCTGTGGCTGTATTCCGGGGGCAGCCGGGCATCAGGTACAGGGCCCGGAGGGAAGGCAGGAGGACAGCGCAGGAGTAGGTACTGGCACGAGGCTAAAGAGTGCCCGGTGACCCGCAGAGAGAGAGGGCTGTGGGCCGGCCTGCAGGGAGCTGAGTGCGGCCAGGCGCTGCTCTCGGGACACATCCCCGCGCAGGTCCAGGAGGGCAGAGACATGATCCTCGCTATGGGGACCCCAAAGAGGTGTGTGTCAGCTCCGCCCCGTTCCTCCTCCCCGTCCCCCCACCAACACCAGTCTTCGCACCTCACGTCGGGAAATTTTTGTCGTAGGCCTGCCACCTCGAGGCCGAGCAGCATGGGGTCACGGAGGTTCAGTAGATCCCGCAGAGAGAGGAGCACCGGTGCGCACTGAACACTCTCCTCCAGGCCCTGAGCACCCCAGAGTAGGTCTCGAACCCGCCCTCGACTCCCACCCAACCACTGAGACTCCCGCCCATCTGCTCGCCTAAGGAGCTCTCACCAAACCAAGGAAAAGCTCCCGAAGCTGGGCCGCATCGTTCTGCAGGCGCTGCGCTGCCTGGATCCTCTCGTCGGCTCCTCGGCACACTAGGCGGCCCTGCATCAACGCACGTAGGTACTGCAGTACCACCGTGCGCTCCGCCTCAGCCAGGAGAAGCTGCAGAGAACGCAATGAGTCCAAGACGCCTTTCCTATGGGCGCTTCCCTGCTTCCCAGCCTCTCCCTTAAGCGCACCTGGACTGCAGGATTCCGCACTCGCCTGAAATCCTGGCAGAAGCGCACCGTCCGCTCGCATACATCGTCCAGCAGCTCTGGGCTCGACAGCCACCGGCGCGAGGGCAGAGCTTCGAACAGGGGCTGGGGGGTGGGGTTGGGCAGAGACGGGGCTGGAGGAACGTTCAGACCTAGCATTTCCCCAGCAGAGACCCATACATATATATATGCTGTATCTCCTCCTCCCACTCCCATCCCCACCTGAAGACTTACCTGGAGCTCCGCCAGCAGCGCCTCCAACACCAGGCGGCAGATCCTCCTCTGCAACTCGTCCAGCCCTGCCTCCACCGGAGCCAAGTCTCCTGACGCCGCCCCGTCGGGCTGCAGGACGGACACGGAGGAGCTGGACCGACCAAAAGTTATGGCTTCAGGACCAAGGCCAAGGCCCTCACGGCCCTCTGTTGTCTAGCCACGCTGACGCCACCTACCGGCATAAGTTTGTGGAGGGAGGGGGCACTACCAAAGATCTGGGCCTTAGATTGAAGCTGGGAGTGATAGGCTCCGACAGCTAGAAGAAACCCAGCCAGAACTGCCTCTAATTTGCAGTGTAACTTTGCGCAAATCATGTCTTTTGGTTTCTGTTTGGGTAAGGGAAGCCTTAGGAGTGAATAAAAAATCATCATTAACTTGTTTGTCCTCTCTGCCCCCACCTCAAAGAACATAAGACCTAAAAGGAAGGGAATTTTTTTTCTGTTATGCTCACAATTGCAACCACAGCCATTATTATGTGGCACAGAGTAGGACTTTGATATGATACTATGTGCCAGGTAGGCACTGTGGTAGGTACTTCACATCTATTTTCTTATGTGATTTTCAGAACGTACCATTATTACCCACGTGATACTTACGAAAACAAGATTCAGAGAGATTAGGTAACTCACTCAAGGTCACACAGCAATTAGTAGAACTAGGATTGGACTCCCAGGGTTAAGTGAGTCCAAAATTTCTAATGGTCTAGGGTGGACTGCGTCCATACCTAATTGGGGTTCAAT